AGGGCTACTTGCCAGCCAACCAATCACAACATCAGATTGTGACTGGATTGGAGAGCGTGTTTGTTTATGAAAGGGAGAGAGAGTGAGGTCTATTCTGGAGCCTCTAACCCATGGCACTACAGCACATCCCTTAATATAAAACCTGACGGGCGTGAAATTCTCCAGACAGGCCAAAAGTCGTGGTTTGTAAGGCTGCTAACTGACGTGATAACTCGGGTCCCTCTGCGAATTTCCTTCTAAATGTGACCTCTATGGCACTGGCACGCAGACGAGATTTAGGCCTCTTGTTTGCGTTTTCGGTCTTTTGTGCGCGGATTAGCTCATTCGTGGCACGCGCAGACGATCAGTTAAGTTGTCAGCCACTGCACCCAAGTCCACCCCCAAATGCCCTAAATCTGGTTTTCACCACGATGTGGACCACAATGTGGTTGGTCGATCAAGCACGACAGAAAAAAAGGTTACTGGATACTCACCATCGAATTGTCAGGAGAAAAGCATTTGATACCAAAAAAGTCGACTTCGAATAGATCAAGATAAGTGCACACAGCATCGAACAGCTGCTGTCCATAGGCGGCTTTCTACAAAGGCAGAAGGCATGCAACGTACAAAACCGAACATCATGGAATAAGAGCAAAATAATTAGCAGGAACTCATTCGGGGTTATGCAGCTGCGTCGTCGTTAACCGCGGAAATAATAAGCCTGCTAAAAACAATCCGAAATAGCATAAGGGGTAGAAACGGTAGAAAGAAACACAACCATGACAAGGGGAGGGAAAATTTGAAACAAAAGTAATCCAATTAAAAGGTTGTTAGCGATAAGTTTAGCTAAGGGCGTCCATCCATCTAAGAATGCAACTGAACGTGCCTGTGTTTAGTTTATCAAAAGTCAAACTTTGGGGGTTTAGTGCGACGTTCTGTTGCAAAATGGAGACACTTGAGATCTCTTTCCATTTTAGAAGGAATTAACGACTCAAGATTTCGTTAAGTGAAAAAAAACCACATACTTATCACTTGGTCACCATGTGACGGTCTGGAGGGTTTGCGCTACGAGCTCCTGGACAAAGCGGAACTTAATTGTTCCTCTACTAGATCGGTGAAAGCACATTCATTCAACATACTTAGGTGTTGCGGTGGCTCTCGACCCAACGAATAAGGCAGATAAGACATAAACTGTTGATTGAACACTGCCGTACCGCGTAGCGCAAATGTTAGCAGATTGTCTGCTTAGAGTTCGCATAAAACAGCAGGCCATGCCCAGAAATCCTTCTAGTGTCGGGTATTCGTTGACATACAGGATTGGGGGAGTGGCAACTTGAGTGTCTACACTTAAAAAATATTTAAAAGGCAAGCTTGTTGGCGATTAAAGTAAAATTGACAGCAATAAAAGTCTGGTCAAGGTCATTCTGAGGCAAGAACTATCTTCACCGTCATTACTAGCGCCGTGTATGAATTGTCCTGATCAAAATTATTTTTAAGGAACAGAAGATTGGCACTGGACAGCTAAGAAAACGCTTCGAGCCAGTGATCAAGGAGAAAAGGACGGATGAGGCCTGCACAACTATGGTATGCGTTGCCGTAGTTAGCATTCAAGTAGAAAAAAAAGTATTAAAATAACAGGGATGTCGGTTAAAAATGTATTTTTAATGATTATGAACGTAAAATTTTATTTTTAACTGTAGTCAAGAGCTTCGCGGAGGCGGTTATACCGAGGCAATCAAAACACAAACAAAAGGGAGTACCGGCGAAACAAGGGCATTGAAATGATTATTTTAGAATGCTGAAGGATAAACGCAAATAAACTAGAGATATGCATTGCTTTTTCTTGCCTTTGTCGATAATAGGTCTAAAAGACACAACACTTGTTATATACCCCCTGTTTAAATGTAGGAAGAAACCCGTGAGGGGGGCTGCTGCACTTACGTCGATGCAGAAGACTTGTTGCATACCATCAAGCATGATAACAGCGCAATCGACCACTTTTCCAGACGGCTTGAAATTAAGAGCTGAAGTGTTTGATCGTCCAACAGCTGAACGTCCCATAGTGGCGCTGGGGTAAGGTGAACCAACAGTAGCAACAGAGGTGGCGGGGACGCCTGCGCCGCCAACCGTTAGCATCGAGCCGCCGGCAATACTTCCGAGGCGAGTTCCGAGGGTGCCAGTCCCACTGCCAGGACCATAACGGCGTAGACTAGCATAGTATTCCCGCTTGGGAACAGCGTCCGGCACTTCAACGCTACCGTTTTGCATTGTAGTATTCCAATGCTGCTGGCCTTCGAGGTGTGCAAAATTTATTGAGTCGGCGGTAGTATCTCCACCGTCTGATCGATGACTTGGTGACCCAATAGGAGGGCTACCCAACAAGCCTGCCGATGATTCCTAAACGAATATCAGTATATCAGACAAAAGGCTGGAATAATTTTCTTTTAATTTGCACGAGAAACATTAACAAGCAAGGATGCAGACAAATAAATATTAGATACAGTCCATAAGCGTGCAAAGCGCGCCAAAAGGAGCAAACGCTCAAATTTTACTATGCATAACCCGACAACTAGTGCCAAAAAACTTCCAAAACGCCAGGAATAAGAAGGACCAACTAGGAAATTAACATAGGTTGAAAAGCAGTAGAGAACACTGATAACAAAAAAACATTTCAGAGAAGGCGGCGTGACTTTCAACACAGTGCTCCTGGTAATTAGACCAGACGGGCGGTAAAAGTTCTTGGTGATTCAGAGAAACGACTTATCGTAAAATCAAACCTTTCGGATATATGGGAATAGTTGCGACAAAGAAAATTCATGCAAGTTGCAGAAACTAGATAAAGCAATTGCCCAGACTGTAGCCAGTATCTGTTTTTAGTGTTAAGTGATTTTTCGTTTGTAACTTAAACAAAGGCTGTGAATCCTGTGTAAACAAAAACAGGAGAGCCATACATTCAAGGACCCCATAACCATACACAAGCGAAATGTAAATTCTTGCTTACTTCTTGTTAGGGCTGCAGGAAAAAGAGTGGAGTAATTTTGTTAAAAAAACTGCACTTTAGACCGAACTCTATTTAACGTATTGCGAAGACATCTATTACATAATCAATACGAGCATAGTATAATGTTCAAACAGAAAAGCACACTAATGAAAGCAGTTATTGAAGTCTAATAAGCAAGGAAAGTGATTTGCAGCTAATAGACTTGCTACATGAAGCAAGTCTAATCGTCCTGCCATCAATCTTTTATGAGACTTAAATAAAAGATTAATAAGGCAATGAAAGCAGGAACACTATCAATGTCTAATATATAACCAAATGATTCAAAAGAACCTTCGAAAATGAAATGAAAAATATTAAGTAATAACGCCAAGATACAGATGCAATTGGAGAGGGAAACCGCTCGCGGCATTAAGAAGGCATTGGAGTGGATATATTGAAATAAACTCTATGAAAGGTGGCAAACTTGCCACCTTAAATGGCACATACGAAATACTGTAAAATATCGATGTACAGGGAAAATCATAAAAAAATAAAGCTTAAAAGTATGGAGTGCAGCAATGCCAGAAACAAATTCGGCTGGAAATAGAAAAGTAAAAAACACTGGAAGGAATAATTACCGGATGTAAAGACATGAACCTAGGCGCCTACGAGCGCAAAGAACAAAACGGCTAAATGTACTCGAATGGGCTAACGGGTATGACCATGGCCATGATTAAAAGCCTTCAATTCGACTCAGCTCATTTATTCAAAATTACCTTTAAGCAGAGTTATTCGTTCGTTTGTAATTTGATTACCTATATAGACTAAAACCCATTCCAGAACCTTACATTTGCTGATCAGGCTATAAAAATTTTAAATTTAAAAGACGTTAAAAAGAACTTTTTTGGGTGACTTGGATGCCAAGTCTAGGATCTAAGGAATGAATACTGTACATATTGTGACTCTATGCCCGGCTTCATATTGAAGGCAATAAGGTTGAATCTGCAGCCCCCAATTAGCTAATTCTTCTTCTGACGGCTAACAACCACTCACCAATAAGTGCTCATTTAGAACGGAGTACCGGATTTACAACACCGATATGAGACAGAGCGTAGTGTTCATCCGTGTCAACACTTCCCTGTCTAAAGTGCAATAATAACAAGAGCTGCAGTTTTTCTCGTGAAAAACAGTATGGAGACTGATCACGAGTCGTTCTTACTGTCAGCTCGATCCTTTACTGCAAATCCCTGTTATTCTTGCCTGTAAACTGGCAACCAATAAATAAGTTAATTTAGTAATTTAATTCAGCCCTTTAAACTCCATTTTATTTTTATTTGCTATGTTGTTATAGTTGTTCTTTTGTGGAGGTGTGCCTGTTCGTAAATGTGTACTATATAGTATATGCTCCTCTATTTATGTCAAGTTTATTAAAGGAAATATAGGCAAAAAGCGTTTGAACTCCCTCATGGTACATAGTATTCAAGAAATGCATCGG